GCACAGCGGCTACCTGGCCGACGGGCCGGGCAGCGACTCCAGCTCCGGGCCCTTTCACGGCTCCTCCAGTGACTCCGTGCTGAACTGCACGGACGTCAGTCTCCAGGGCATCCACGGAAGCTGCTCCACTTTCCGCAGCTCCCTGAGCAGCGACTACGACCCCTTTGTGTACTGCAGCTCGGAGGGAGCTGCTGTGGAGCACGGCCAGGAGCAGCAGCTGGCGAGGGAGATGCGGCCCAGGTCCTTGGACCTGCTGGTGCCTGGGGGTGCTGCTCCAGCCAAGTCCCAGGTGCTTGGCCACGTCCACTACCACCACCACCAGCACCATCACTACAGGAGAGAAGCCGAGTGCCCGTCCGGGCGTGCTGGGCCGGGGCCGAGTCTGCGCAAGTCCCGGTACTCTGGGACCAAAGTTGGCTTCCACGGTGCTCGGACGCAAAAGAGGACTGAGAAAATGCACCGCTGTGAGCAGCCTTTTGAAAGTAGCACTGTGTCCCCAGAGGCCCCCCCGGCAGGACAGCCCGCCTGCCCCCAGCAGGGCCGTGAGCTTTCTGGTGCCCCTTCTGCTTCCCTAAACAGGTTGGACTTGGGCACAGATGCTAGCAGACTGTTGGGAGCAGCTGGCACGTCCCACGTCCCGCCGCCCCAAAGACACAGCTTACACGGCCGTCATCACAGAAGGAAAAGAAAGTGTCCCCTGGAGCCCGACCCTCCCCACCTTCCCGAGGACTCCGTCTTGCACAAAGCTTCTGACGCTCGCGTTCCTCGTGGCCATCCCGCCCGTGACAGCTGCTCGCCCGAAGCTCAGCCCCTGATCCCAAGTGCTCCCCTGCCCTGCTCAGGCTCTCGGCCGCTTTGGAAGTGTTTAGTCCCCCAGTCCAGCTCGGAACTGAAAAAGCAGGAGGACGGGTTGTCAGGGCAGGAGGGCAACCTCCTGGTTCCTGCTTATTTCTCAGGGACAGGCACCCCTGGTCACAGCCTGAGCGTTCCCCTTCACTGCCAATCTCAGCGACGCAGTCAGGGTAAGTCTCCTGTTTGCCTCTTCTTTCAACAAGCAGATAGATAAGGGTGGTTGGTTGAGGGTTGCTTGTGAGGACGCTCTGGCTGCGCATGCACAGACTTCTGTACCTTCACAGTGGGGTTTCCTGCAGAGTCACTGATAACAGGTGAACACAGAAGTATTTCAGATATTGTCCCGAGATGATTTCTCAGATGATAATCAGACACTGCCATCTCATCTGCAAGCAACACAAATTAGAAATAAGGTGGGTGTTTTTAAGCGAGAATCACGTAAACTAGAACTTGGAATATCTCCCAAAGGAAAGGGTGGAACCCTATTTCTCAGTGTCCTTATCTGGATTGTCCTACTGCAAGATTTGTTACCACTGCTGCTTGCTGGGTCTTAGCTATTTTAGTCAGTTCCAACTTACTGACCTTGATAAGGAGATGAGTGTTCATGGCTTGTGGTAATAGGAGGAAAGACTAGGTGAGAAATGAGGGACATGTAAATCCATAAATTCATCTGCCTTAGTTGTGTGGTAATTAAAACTTAGCCCTTTATCTGTTGTGTGTCAATTCTGCCTCTCCTCGAGGCAGAAAATGTGTTTGAGACTGGGATTCTTGAAAGAAAACCAACAAGGTTTGGCTTCCAGGTCTGGCTCCCTTAGACCCTTCTGCAAATACTCCCCTGCACATCAGTGTAGGCAGTGCTGGCTCCCAGAGCTGAACCTGCCTCCCTTCCTCCTCCTGCACATGACTCATTGCAGGTCCTCCGGCAAATCATTTTGATTTAGGTACCACATACACATCTAGCTGCCTGATTTCTGTTAAAATGCTGGCCTTAAACTCATGACTCAGTGTGCCCATTGTAACAGGAGATAATAACTTCCTCCCCTGCGAGTCTATCCGGCCCTTTCGCCACACCCAGGCTCCTGATCTTTGCTGCCTGCCCAGGAGGGAGCAGGGGGAAGGGAGCGGGCCGGGGTGTGCGCAGGGCCCTGCACCCGCTGCCCGCGGCGCTCTGCGCTCTCCGACTCCCAGGAACAGATTCTTCCCAGGCACAGAAGTGCCTGACGCTGCAGATGGCTGATATGGGAGCTCCCTCAAAGGGCCCTGAGGGATCCTGCCCTTTCAGGAGATAAGGCAGCAGAGCAGAGATGTCTCTGCAGTTTGTTAGTGGTTTTGTAGTGTGGATGTGTGCTCTGCACAGCGCTGCTGGAGCCGTGTGCGGGGATACAATCAGACAAACATCCCAGGATCATAATGGGAGACCTGTGCTTGGAGAGACCCTTGTGGTAGGGTGGTAGCTTGCTCATGAATTGATCTGAGTTTATATTTTAAACAAGCAACCAAAACCCACCCGGGTGCTGGTGTGGCTCCTGCTCCCTGGCGCCAGGCCGGGTGTCATAGAATCATAGAATCATAGAATGCTTAGGGTTGGAAGGGACCTCTAGAGATCATCTAGTCCAACCCCCCTGCATACGCAGGGACACCTAAAGCACATGGCACAGGACTGCATCCAAGCGGGTTTTGAAGATCTCCAGAGAAGGAGACTCCACAACCTCTCTGGGCAGCCTGTTCCAGTGCTCTGGCACCCAGCACACGAGGCTGGGGTTCCTGCCAGCCTGCCCGCAAACCCGGTGCTGGCAGGGAGGGGGCAGCTTCCAAGGACACAGTGTCACCCTGAGGGCAAAGGCCACCAAAGTGGGCATCTGCGCAGCTCCTGGGGAGCTCTTGGTGCCTTTCTCCAGCCATCTCCTCATTGAACATTCCTGTCTCCTTGGAAACACTTGTCACAGGGCCAGCTCTCCGCAGCCTGGATCGTTCCACTCGGCCCACAACGGGGCTGCCTTGAGAACAGGTCCATGCCCCTCCTTGGCTGCTGTTAGGGCAGCTGCTGCTTCTCCAGGTGCCTCTAGGGGAGGCCAGAACAGACAGGTGCCCAGCACCCTGGTGGCATCTGCAGCCCACCCCGCACAGGGTTTGGCTCCTGTGACCCAGGGCTGCTCAGAGGGGAGCCCTGCCTGCTGCAGCTGCCACCACGGGGGAAGTGTCCCCTGCCGAGGTGTCATTAGTCTGCTCCTCCCTGTAGCTCAGGGGCTGGCAGCCATGTTCTGGTCCAGGCGCTGTGGGAAGCAAAACAGCCTCCAGCTCCTGCCAGGCCTCCCTGCTGCTGCTTGGCAAGGCCAAGCCTGCCTTGCACAAGCGGCTGAGCAGGGCACCCTCTCCTCACTAGGCTAAAGTGGGGTTGGACCCAGTAGGGTCAAGCCCGAAGTGGGTCCCTGTCACTTGGGCTAGGCTGACTTCACGCTTCATGCTGTGCAATATCCATATCCCGCAGCCGTGCACTGGATTTGGGGTACAGTGGGCCAGGCTGTGACACCAGGGATGCTCTCTGAACTGTGCTGCAGCATCCATGCCTGGGCACCCCAAACGTGGTCTGCCCTCCTCTGCCCTCTTCCTGGTGCAGCCAGGGTAGCAGAACTTGGCGTTCACCAGGCTGGAGCCGCAGGGCATCCGCAGAGGAAAAGCAGCTGGGGAGCAACCGGGAAACACGGCTCTGCCCTTGAATTCCCCTCCCGCAAGGCCAGCACGGAAGGGGCCTGGGCTGCTGTCCCTGCAGTGCAGGTGTGGCTGCTCCCAGGCGTGGGGCAGGGGTGCCCTGCCACGTGCAGAAACGGCCCCTTGGGGAACTGATCCCGTCATCCCGAAAGAGAGCCTGGGCCGCGAGCATTGGACTGGGGACAGCGGAGCTCACGCAGGGCTCGTACCAAAAAGCCATCGAGCTGAAAACACTACTGAAACACATACCAGAGTTATAGTCACACAAGTTCTTAGGGATGGGACATAAATCAGTGCGGAATAGCTATGAAACAGCAAAGATCAGTCTCAACAGGCAGCCTATTTTAGGGGGGTGCGCATAAAATAAGACAAGGAAACCAGGGAGGAATAAATATATTCCTCTAGATGAATGTTGTAAGACTGAAAGATAAGTGGATGAGTTAGGACGCCTGGCTATAAATGAAGTTTTTGTTTTAAGAATTTTGGACACCCAGAAAAACAAGAGAGGGATGTTGATTCCCAGGGTGAAATGGTGCAGAAGGGTTTGCCATGGTGGCACAGGACGGCACTGTGTGTTAAGGAGAGTGTGAAGTCCAGCGACAACTAGCATAAACTCCCCAGTTGTGCCTGAGTGGTGTTATAATATGTATGAGCGTAAATATGGTATGTGCCACTGTATGGGCACTCTAGTATAAGCACTGGGTACTGTATGAGCGTTATAATATGCTGTGTTAGCATAAATTGCAAAAAAGAAGCCTCCATAAAAACAGGAAAAAAATATTAAAATAAACATCTGAATGAATTAAGATGTTTTGGGGCACAGGGATCATTTAAAGATACAACACCAGATGCCAGAGCAATATCCTGAAAAGAGAAATAACCCTGAAAAGGCTCCAGAAAAGCCATGTCTAAGGAGCAGAGCAAAGAAAACCATTAGAAGAACCAAGCTATTCTTCAAAACTTAAGGCGATATAAGACAAAACAGAAAGGAGATAGATGCAACTAACTTAGCTAAGTGCAGAATCACATTGAGGCAGGCCAGGGAAGATTTCTATGAACAACTCGGGTAAAACGGAAAGACTATCATAGAATCACAGAATCCTTAATGTTGGAAGGGACCTCTAGAGATCATCTAGTCCAACCCCTGCACACGCAGGGTCACCTAGAGCACGTGGCACAGGACTGCGTCCAAGCGAGTTTGAAGATCTCCAGAGAAGGAGACTCCACAACCTCTCTGGGCAGCCTGTTCCAATGCTCTGTCATCCTCACTGTTGAGAAATTTTTGCTCTATCAGTGAAAAGGTTTTTGGCTCCATCCAAAGCAAGCAGCCTGCCTGTGCCGCAGGTCAGCGAGAAACGCGAGTCTGTACAGCCTGGTAAGGGGTGCAGCGTGGTGCCACTACAGCAAAATGAATTTATTGCGTGTGACAGCAGCACAGAAGCACTTGAGGAGCGGCTCATAGCGGCACGTCCTGCTCAGAGCGTGGGAGAGTGGCTCTCACAAATCCAGACGGTGGGATAAGCACTGCTGGGACCCATCTGTAACGTTACAGGGGCCTGAATGCAAAACAGCCAAACCCCGACGTGCGGAGCGCGAGCGGCCGGACGGGCTGAAGGCAACGTCAGCTCCGAAGAGCTGGAGCCGCAGCAGCGTGAGCCTGTCTTTCCTGCCAAGCAAACTGCCAAGAATTTAAATACAGGGTCTGACCTGTAGACACACGGCTAAATGTGAAATCCAGGGGAGGAGATAGCACAGCTTTTATCAGGAGAGAGAATGCCTTGGAGGTCTTTGCAGGGAACACATCTATCAAAGGATCAAAGGGAAGGTTCTCTCCTGGGTAAGTAGCTGGATGAAATATGAGAGACAAAATGCGGATCAGTTTTAATGGAGGAAAATAACTAGGAAATGGAGGAAGGGGGAGTTCTCCCAACTGGCTGCATTTTTCAGTAAGCTCCTAAATATCCTGGGCAAGGAGAGGAGGTAAAAAAAGTTGGCAGAAATGGCTCTTGCCAGCAGTACAGCTGGTTACAGAGTGTTAGGATCTCTCGTTGCGGAGTTACTGGGTACTAAAGTGGCAGATGGAGGTCTGTGCAAGTGACACAAAGTGCCACCCGTGAAGGGAACTGCTGCTAAACCCACGGGGGCAGCGTCACCTCGGTCAGCGCGAGGGGACCTGCTGTGAGCAGCTGTGTGTGTGAGA